GCTCGGGGGCCGGGGCCGGGACCCCGGCCCCGCTCCGAACCCAGCGCAGTAGCACGAGCCGCACGAACCCCCGGGGGACCGCCGCTCGCGCCACGCTCAGTGCCATGGCCGTGCTCATGTAGGGGCGGCGGGCGCCGCGTGATGACGTTGCCGTCGCGCTCAGCGGGTGCGCATGCGCAGTGTGCGGCGGTGATCGGGTGCTAACGGCGTGACAGCTAGGGCCGGGCTCGGGCAGGTGAGCGCGCGCCAAGTCCCCTCCCCCCTGCCCCGGGGTCGGGCCCTGGGATGCGGCGCTAAAGGCAGCGCGGGCCTGGGGCTCCCCCTGTGGGAGACGGTGCCGCGGGCCGGAGGTTGAACGCGCCTGCTCCAAAGGGTGCGAGAGCAGAGAGCTGCGTCCCCCTCTTCCGTTTTAGTCCCAGCTCCGGCTTCGTTTGCTTGAAAAGCCGCCTCCCCCCGTTTGGGTAAATTCAGTAAAACCAAAACGCGGCCCCCGCCGGATCTCCGACGCTTGTTTTCTTCAGCCATTGCCTCCCTTAGTGAGCCGGTGCCTCAGTCGCACGCGGGCCCGGCTGACAAAAGAGCCCCCTAATTAACCTTGTTGCTTGTGTGAGACTCTTGCACTGTATCTCAGAGCCCCAAGGCTGATACCCTCCAAAGCCTGAAGCCAGGAGGAAAGATGAGGGTGGCGGGTCACTTGCTGATGAGATTTGCTGCGCTCTGGAAAAGGGAAAGGTTGATGCCCAGCTCGTCTTTCCATTCTCTTTACAGGTAGTCCTGCCGTTCCTGCTGGTATCTAGCTAGTAAGTAGATTTCATAGACATTAGGGATGGAAGGGACCTTGGAAGATCATCGAGTCCAGCCCCCTGCCCCAGGGGCAGGAAGTCAGCAGGGGCCATAGGATCCCAGCAAGATAGACATCTGAATGTCTCTTGAAGGTGTTCAAAGTAGGTGCTTGAACCACCTCCAGTGGCAGGCTATTCCTAACCTTGGCGGCTTGGACAGTAAAAAAGTTCTTCCTTACGTCCATCCTGAAGCAGTCCTGAAGGAGTTTGTGACCATTTGACCTTGTCATCCAATGGGGCACTGGCGAACAGATGTTCCCCCAGATCCTGGTGAACAAACTTATAGGCAGCCACCAGATGACCCCTGAGCCTGTGCTTTTCCAGGCTGAAGAGTCCCATAGCTCTCAGCCTCTTATCATAAGGTCTGTGTTCCTGACCTCTGATCATGCATGTGGATCTCCTCTGCACTCGCTCAAGCTTCTCCGCATCGTTTTTGAATTATGGAGCCCAAAACGGCGCAGTACTCTAGCTGTGGCCTCCCAAGGCCAAGTACAGTGGGAGAATGACGTCCTGGGCTTTGCTTGAGAAGCATCTATGGATGCAAGCCAGCGTTTTGCTCACTTTACTAGCCGCAGCATCACATGGAAGGTTCGTGTTCATCTTGTGGTCAATCATGACCTTTTCGTCTAGTGCTAGCCAGCATAGCACTGCCGAGCCTATAAGGATGCTGTGGGTTTTTCTTCCCAAGGTGAAAAACCTTGCATTTTTCGGTGTTAAACATCATCAGGTTCTCATCCGCGCATTTCCTGAGCCTGTCAAGGTCAGCCTGGATGGCCCTCCTATCCTCAGGTGTGGACGCTTTACCCCAGAGTTTAGTGTCATCAGCAAACTTGGCCAGTCTGCTTCTGATACCAATGTCCACATCATTAATGAAGATGTTAAATAGTATAGGCCCAAGGACAGAGCCTTGAGGGACCCCACTGGTCACTGCGCACCACGACAATTGACTTACATCAGCCACCACCTTCTGGGTCCGACCACAAAGCCAGCTCCCCAGCTAGCAGATTGTGGTGAAGCTGAGGCCACAGTTGGCCAGTTTTGCCAAGAGGTGATAATGGGATACCAGATCGAAGGCTTTTTTAAAGTTAAGATATATGACATCAATCTCTTCTTTGTTGTCCAGGTGATAGGTCACTTGGTTGTAAAAGGAAATAAGATTGGTCAAGCAAGACCTACCCGTGACAGACCTGTGCTGGCTATCCCTCAGGATGTTGCCATCAGCCAGTCTGTTAAGAATGGCCTCTTTGATAATCTTTTCTAAGACCTTCCCCAGAATAGAGGTCAGGCTGATGGACCTGTAGTTAGCCGGATCCACTTTCCTACCCTTCTTGGAGATAGGCACCACACTGGCCTTCTTCTAATCTTCGGGCATTTCACCAGAGCACCAGGAGTTCTCGAAGATCCGTGCCAGGGGCTGGGCTATGGTGCTTGCCAGCTCCTTGAGTACCCTGGGGTGTAAGCTGTCGGGGCCAGCTGACTTGAAGGTGTCCAGCCTCTCAAGGTGTTCCTTCACAAGGTCAGCATTGATGGAGGGTAAGGAATCATCCTCACCCAGGTGTTCCTGTCCTGTAATGGGCAGGGGTGCCCCTTTGGAACTGGTGAAAAACTGATGCAAAGTACCCATTTAGCAAGTTGGCTTTTTCCTGTGTGTCGGTTGTCAGTTGTCCCATGGTTTAGCAGGGGTCCAATGTTGCTCTTGCTTTTCCTCAGGCTGCCCACATATCTAAAAAGGACTTTTTATTGTACTTGATACTTGTAGCTAGTTGGAGTTCAGTTGCAGCCTTGGCTTTCTTGGTTTGCTCCCTGCAGGTCTGGACCAGTGTAGAATATTCCTCCTTGGAGGTGGAACCAGTCCTCCATCTTTTGTAGGTCTTTCTTTTTAGACGCAGGAGGTCTGCTAGTTCCCTCCAGAGCCAAGGGGGCTGCTGTGCTCTTTTGCTGCCTTTCCTCTGAGACGGAATAGATTTAGCTTGTGCATCCAGGATCGCTCCCTTGAGGAGCAACCACTCATCCTGAACTCCCCTCCCCTTTGGGTCATGATTCCTTAGGGTCTCACTGACAAGCCTCCTGAGCTTGTCAAAGTCAGCTTTCCTGAAGTCGAGGACTTCTGTATTGCTGACTGACTTGCCAGCTTTCTGGCAGATGGAGAAGGTGATCAGCTCATGATCACTGCCACCCAGCTTCCCTTTGATTGTTAGGTCGCTGATTAGGTCGTCCCCCGTAGCCAGTACCAGGTGAAGCAGCGCTTTACCTCTAGTCGGCCCGTCAACTTCTTGCGTCAGGTAGAGCTCATCCACACACGAGAGAGAGCTTTGCAACCGCTCTGATTTGGCTGAGCGCTCTTCCCACAAGATGTCTGGGTAGTTGTAGTCTCCCATGATAACTATGCATTGGGAGCATGCATCTTCAGTCAATTCCCTGGCAAACTCCTGGTCAAGCTCTTGATCTTGGGTAGGAGGTCTGTAATAGACTCCCACCATTGTGTCCCCTGTTCTGTGTTCCCCACGGATTTTAACCCAGAGGGTCTCCAGTCATCCACCCTGGTCGCCCCCTTACCGGCTTGCAGGGATGCGTAGCTTTCCTTGACGTAGAGAGCTATACCCCCGCCCCTTTTGTCCACTTGATCTCTCCTGTACAGGGTATAGCCATCTATACCTGTACAGTCCAGTCATGGGTGGATGCCCAGCAGGTCTCCGTTATCCCTATGACGTCATAATTATTTGTGTTAAGCAGGCAGACAAGTTCCTCCTGTTTATTCCCCAATCTCCTGGCATTTGTGTACAGGCAGACAAGTGTCTCTTTAGGGGCCCTTGCCTTGCCCACAGCTTGTTCCAGGGCTTAGTCAGGGCTGGGCTCCTTTAAGTGCCTTGACCTGCTGCCTTTGCAAGGGTTGCTCAATGGGCCAGCAGTGGCGATAGTCCCCCCATCCTCTGGCGGTCTTAGTTTAACCAGTGGTTAATTTTAAGATTGCTCTTTCCTCACTGGTGCGAAGTAAAAATGCCACAATTTTCTCCAGCAAAATTTCATATCTTATTTGTTTCATAGGTCTAGATTGTAGCCATGTTGGTCTAAGGACATAGGCAGACAACATTGTTTGGGTTCAGCCTGAAGAAGGGTGTTTGTACTCAAAAGCTTGGAAAAAAGAATTTTCCCAACTATTTTAGTGGTTCTAATAAAAGATATTGGATTTACCCAAAGAACCTTGTCTGACTATGTCCTTAGACCAACATTGCTACAACCTGTACCCCGAAACACTTTTTTCCAGCCATGACACTCATTTGTTTTGAGTGTACTTCGCTACTGTAACCTGCTACATGACGGCTGCATCTTCTAACCTGGCACTCTCCAAGGTGGGCTCTCAACTATGCTACCGTCTTACCTGGCTCTCTGCAAGGTGGGATTTTATCTATGTTATTCTCTTACCTGCTGATGGGGCAGTGACCCTACATTACAAAATTCTGTCAGCACAGTTATGTCTGTTAGGGGTGGGAAAAGATTGATGCACATGGCTGACGTGTCTCTGCTGGCAAAACTCCCAAGCAGATGCAGCTCTGCCAGCAGAAGGCAGCTTTTGTTAGCTTAGTTCCCCACTTTGTGGGGGACCTAGTTTGGTTCTGATGGAAGAAAAATACCTGGCTTCCTCAGTTAATGCAGAAGTTTGTAGAGCAGGCTTTCATTAAATGCCACTGGCTTGTTGCTGTTAGTTGCTGCTTGGCCAAGCTGCATCAGTGATGTTGAAATATTATTTTTCACTGCCCTGGGGAGAAAACAGCGAAACGGAAACAAGACTGAGCAAAATGATGCCGATGCTATTGCATTGGCATTGTTGGAGCTGTCTATATGCAGGTTTAAAGCAACAGCATAACAATGTCTTGCACTCATGCAAGGAACCCTTTTAATGAACGCTTGTAAAGACCAAGTCTTCCATAGAAGCTTCCTACTCACCAAGAATGAATGGATTTTTTTCAAGTCTTATTGGCTGTGTGTTTTATATTTTATTATGATTTGCATCGCAAGAATGTCTTACGGTGCAGGGGGAGAGTTCTCTAGGATGGGGATTTGCAGCTTGGTAGTCCTTCTGCACAGTCAATCACAATGACTACATTAGAAGGTAACATAAGTTGATCTTAGGTACTTTTACATTTTGTCCATCTCTCTTAGTGGTAGTGCTATGGATAACTGAACTTTCAGAGAACCAAAATGGAAAGGTATAAAAGAAAGTGGAGAAGCACAAAGGTGCAGGAGTTCATGAATAACAATATTGGACATTTTAGGAGAGAGATGAATAAGCGTGTTTTTCTTAAACCAGAAGTCTCTTTTAAAGCATTCACTGTCTCCTTGTACATGCATTGTGTAAGATAATGAATTTTCATAGTACTAATAAGGAAACAGCATTTTTAGTGAATCCTCGTGGACGCTAGGTCAGGCTTAGTTCCTGAGTTCAATTATTCAGAGGCACATCCTTTTTTCACGTAATTTAATTGCTCATTTTCTTTTTTCTTGAGTCTGTTTTAGTACAGCTGATGTTCTTGGCATTTAGGTTTAGAAATTATGAGATAATTTATATTCTACGGTTGGAAGCAAGAACGAATTGATTTGTCTTTTCTCCAAGATCTGTTTTGCACTTCAACAGTAGTTTAGATTTACCAATGATAATACTTTTATATAAGAACAATTTAACACTTGTTAATGAAAAGAGATCTAGTGAATTTGTTCAGATTATCCTTCATGTGTAATTTATGGGATAGCACAGAGCAGCGGTGGGCAAAATATGGCTCACGAGGCTCACGAGGCCATTCTATTCCCCCACGGGCTATCAGCCCTGTGAGCTGCAAGCGGCTGCAGCAGGGGGGGGGCAGGGGAGGAGCCACTTTTCCCCGCGCTCAGCTTTTCCCCGGACTCCTTCCCGGCACGGAGGAAAGTGGCCCCTCGCCTACCCTGTGGCTGGCACCCCGCTCGCATCCTGCACGGGGCTGTCCGGAGCAGGCACAGGCAGCCCCATGCGGGCTGTGAGCAGCTACAGTGCGGGGCGGGCGAGGGGCTGCTTTTCCTCCCCCCGCACTCTGCACCAGCTTGTGACCTGGCCCCACTGCCAGCCTGGGCCCCACTCCGGCTCCGGGCTCGCCA